ATTTTGGAACTAACTATATAAAATAAACAGCTTTTCATGGGAACCAGAATTATTTTGTCTATTGTAAATCATAACAGATTAGAGACATTATGACTTAAATTGGACACTAGAGGGGACTAAAGATTCTAGGCAAAAAGAAAACAAACAAATAAAGCTGCCTTTGGTTCTCATTAGGATTGGGATTTACAAAATTACACAAAACACTAAAACATTTGAAATATTAAAGGAGATCTTTGAAGAATGGGGCCAGAAATCAGTAGCCACAATATCAACAATATCAGTAATGATGTCTGCTTCTATGGATCGACTATGTATAAAAGATGTTAATAAAGGAATGACAGATGTGAAACAAATTTTGCTTGATGCAGAAATAGTGGAATCAGAAATATTGGACAAGACAGAGAAGGTATTTAAAGTGGAAATACAAGCGACAGGCCAAGAGAATGCCCTAGATATACAAAAGAAGCTGGCTGAAGTTTTAAAAATTAAAGAGAAATGCAAATAATAAACCAACAGAATGACCCGGATAACGTCTTTTTACAGGTAGTCCTTGCTTTAAGACTATTCATTCAGTGACTGTTCAAAGTTATGGCAGTGCTGAACAAATGGAACTTATGCCCGGTCCCCAAAGTTACAGCCATTGTAGCACCCCCACAGTCATGTGATCAAAATTTAGGCGCTTGGCAGCCCGCATGCACTTATGACTGCAGGGGCACTTCAACTTACCCCACCCGCCTCTGTCCCACATATCTCTGCCCTTTTGGCCGCCCTGCATGGTGGCACTCCTCAGCTGGGGCTGAAGTAGAGGCCTGGGGCACTATCACCTGGCCGCCTCCACCCCTGGGGCCTCTACTTCAGCACCGCCAAGTGCCACCTCAAGCCCTGCACTGCAGCCAGCCACCTCAGCACCACAGCGCAAAGCCTCAGCTGCCGTCGCCACCGCCCTGCACTCTACAAGCCCTGCCACGCCCAGCTGACCTTTTCCATCTTCCTCCAGTGCTGACAAGGTGCACCCGGCCTGGCCTTATGCGAGGCAGCTGCTGGCCACGCCAGGCCTTCTTCCCAAGGCCACGCATGCCTTTCTCCAAACAGTGCATGCTGTTCTTGCAATGCTCCGGAAAGCCTTCAGAAAGCTTTTGAGACCTTCTGAAACCTTGTGAAAAAGCAGCACCCACCATTCTCCAAATAGTACAGCTTTAAGCATTTAAAGGTCCTTGAAATCATTCAAATAAATAAGAGAGGCAAAAATGCTGGCCAAATTACTGAAGTTAAATTTATTAGATTTAATTTGTTTTCCTCTCTTACTGAAACCTGAATTGTTATTCATATTCATATATTTCTTAGACAGGAAATATTAATGGAATGAGGCCATATAAATAGCAATTATTTCATCACAATGTTCTCAATCTTACAAGGCTCTCATTTTAAACATGAGAGAGTTTTGCCCCTGTTTCCCATTCATTTAGCAGAACTCTCAATGCCTCCCATATTTATAAATATAGGAACTATTGAAGCTCCATCTTTTGCAACCACAGAACATTTTCTCAGCTCAAAATAGAATGATAGTGCAACAAGCAGTGAGCATAAAAATGAGGACAACTTAGAAAATACAAACACACAAAAACAGCAGCAGCAGGCTACTTCGATTATTACCTGAAATAATTGAGGCAATGCTTTTACTGTCGTGTAGAACCATATTCCCACCTTACATGGAAGTAGGTCCCGCCACTGTGGTTTTTCTAGAAGTCTACAGAAAATACATTAAAAAAAACAGAAATTATTACTGTTGCTTATACAGCCAACTAGGAATAAAAAGGGTTCAAAGTAAGCAATAGCCTATCATGGGAATATGTAAGTAGTTTCATACAGTGTGTAACTGCTAAGAGAGATATCTTCAAGATTGTTTTTGCATGCCAGTCTTGTTTGTATCTCTCCAAATAAAGTCTTCAGCTTTTTCTGATGGTCGCAGTTGAAAAAGAGAGAGAGAGATTAAGCACCACCAAACCAATGTCAAGTGTTGACAACCAGTTGTGAAGACTGTACTATAAGAAGCCAAGACATAAAAATTAATGTCATTTGCCATTCACTGAAGCATTATTTAATGATGTCATAAGAATGGAGGACAGGCAGAATGGTCTCTGCTCTGTCCTGCATTGATCCAGTTCATGCTCCTGCTGTGTGAACTATTTAAGCCTTTTATTTCTTTCTATAATTCAACAAAAGAAAAGATGGTATCTTCTGGAGCATTCTGAATGTCACTATTTCCTCCGAAATGGTTTGTCAGCTTTAAAAGTGGAGAGGGAAGTAGAAACGTTTTACTAATCTTTTGCTTCTAAAGCCAAACTGTGCCAGACAAAATCCAGACTAAAGTAATGACAGGTAAATTGTGCAAATAAAGACCACAGCAAGGATCAGGGATTATTTAATACCAGTGAGCATCAGGCCTTTCCATAATTCTTCTCCTGAAATTAAAAGAAAAAACTAAAGCTGGTTTCCTATTAAAGGAGTTCTGCATAGATTTCTGGGCTTCCTGCAAATCCTTCTAAAGTGTGCATTCATCTCAGCTATACTTCTAAAATTCATCTGCATAAATTATCATTTATATCTTCAGCACAATTTTTAAAATAAGATATAACTGTTTAAAGATTCATTTCAAGAAATGCCAAAACATTCCCAAATGCTACTTTCAGCGCCTCGTGTGTCAAAAACTATTTGAGTCCCTCTTCTATAGAAGGAGCAGTTCTTCCAGAAGAATTTCCTAAGTTCCCACCTTTCATTCTTCTCTACACCAGGTTTCACTTCATCGCTATTCTTTCCTCCAGTCCTTTTTTTCTTCTCCCTTTTTTTTCTACTAAGAAGTTCATCCTAAGGAAGGAAGGGAGGGAGGGAGGGTTAGTAGTTATCCATGAGTGTGTTCTACAACTCTTAGGAAGACTCTTCAAATAAAAATAAAACAGGACCAGGACTGCTACTTGATTTTAAAGAAATCAGTTAACAATAAGTGTTGCCATAATAGTCACTCCTTAAACACACATGAACTCCAACTACTGTCAGTCAGTTATGTATATTCACATTAACCAAACTGTCCTTTTTTACAGTTTTAACTTATTCTTTTCATCCAAAATTGTAATAATGTGGCTCTGAAAATATTAAAAAAAAGATAAAGCTTAAATCCTTAAGTACTACTGAAAATTCGCACATAAATAAGAATGTTCTTTTGCTGTCTTGTAGACAGGAAGGAACCAACATTTAAAACAGTTCTTCTATCATTTTCCATTCGAACCCTGGACTATTTATTATGTCTGAAAGTCACTTCAATTTGTGGGTGTGGAGGGGACCCTCCATTAAGACATTAAAAGTCAGAGTGAATTTCAGAGTGAGTATAAATTTCAAAACTGGGGCGGGGGGAAGAGGAGAAAAAAAAATAAAGAAAAGGAGAAAGAAAAAAAAACCTAACTAAATATCAAGGAAGGGAATTTAGCCCTAAATAGTTTTTCAGTTCTACTGATTCCTCTGATATCATCAGATCTTGAAATTAAAAATAAAATATTTATATACTTAAAAATTTCCCTAATCATTTAAAAAACAGCAATTCCTTCATGGGGTGGGCTGGGGGGAGAAAATACTTGGACTTTTTGTTTTTAGAACCATTTTTGTCAGCATGCACTCTGAAAAGCTAATTCAGACCAGAGCCTGTATATATGCATGTATGAAACTTGGGGCATGATTAAGAATCCTGAGCTAGCCCAAGATATTTTGTCACTTGAAGCAATAACAAGATGGTGACAGGAGAGAGACGGCCTGAAGCAGACCGGACAGGCAGCAGAATCTAATTTTCAACACTGTCCCATCCTCAATGTCCTCCACTACACTAATCGAGCCTTGCATTTGTGGCCCCCTCTGCTCTGTCTTCCAACTCTAATTCTTCCATCCCCCATCTCCCGGCTGAAGCTACCTGTCTCTCTCTGCCTTCCAATAGATTAACTATTAACAGTGTTAATAATGAGACATTAACACTTAATTCAGAAACCCTGAGCAATTCTTGGTGATTTTAGATCAAGCTTCTTACCAGTTGTTTTTCCAGGTAGATAGACCAAACCACAGCATAATGTCCTACTGTGAGGATAATGAGCAGAAGTAATGCCAATTCTTCATTGCTCATTTTCCTCACTCGCCTGTAATAAAATACAGGCTGTCGCCAATCTGGTAGCCCATTGATCAGAATATCATCATACCTAGAGTAGTAAAAACAAACAAACAAACTCTCATGATGCATTTAAAATTAATCTATTTCCTTCTTTTTTTTTAATGCAACAGATATGGCTATTTGTTTCACTCATCAGCTGTTCTGATTTTAACAGCAAACCCCTACAATTATATCTCTTGTCAACATTTAATCTGGATTCCTAGGATAGATAAAATTTCTAACTAGACTGCTACTTAAAAAATGGTGGCTCTACTGTTCTTACAGCTCCCCCAGTTGATTAACTGGAGAAGTGTTTTTTCTCAACAATGAACCACATGTGTTCAGCCTACCTGCCAATCATGGCTCATGTTCTGAGAATAAAAGAATTAGAAAAGGATGATTCTAAGTGGGAAGGCAACGGCCACCAAAATCATTTACTAGCTATAATTCCTTATTTATAGCCATATGTATAAGCAGCCTTAATGCTCCAAAAGAGGTTTAGTTTTATAAAACTTTTATGTGGAAACTAATTTAGGAATGACTCGTAATTTAATCATGAACGTTTTAAAAAAAATAACAAACTGATTTTAACAATTAAAAAAGAGTAACTCCAGCCTAAAAAGAATTTTCATTTTAAAGGCTGAATTTTCTGCCTTAATTCACATAAAAAATTGAATAATTTCTTTTTAGATTTACTCTTGCAAGTGTTTTAAAATGGATGATTTAAACACCAGCCAGACAATATTAATTTCTTACATGCATAAAAATGAATAACTCTAAAGAAAATAGACAAATCTATTATTAGAAACAATTCAAATGGAGACATTTAAAATACTGTATGCTCAAATTAATCCTAAATAGAGCACAGCTCATTGAATATTCTAATCACACTATTTCCAGTATTAAATCTGCACTAAAGGCCTAATTTGGTGCAACACATTGACCAAAATATTTTAATTAAAAATATTCTGAGTTAGTCGCAGGCCTAATTACAGGAATAGAAATAGGGCCTATATTGTCATGCAGGTCAGTAGGACTCAGTAGTAGGTTTTTCTCAAGTAAATTGACCGATCCAGGAATAATAGAGCAGCTGCAAAACTGCCAGTCTTGACATGTAAATCAATTTAAATGCAACAACTGCAGTAGTTACTTTGACAGTTATTAAACTGATACCTTGGAGATATCTTAACAGAGAAAGCTGAACTTCTAAAATATCTTTTCTTTTAAAAAATCAAATCAAATTTTGATTAAGTATCCAGGTCATATTTTTCATCAGAGCAAAATATGTATTTTATTTCTATTGTTAAATGTTAACAGAACATATATTATAAAATTGCTTATGTTAGTTGCTATATAAAAGATTTAAAAAAAACAATAAAATACAACTTCATAAATTTACTTGAAGTCTTTAGCTGAGACCATTACTAAAAGCCTTAAATTACAATAATAAACACACATACAAGCAATTTCCATTGCATTCAATGGATTTGCTTTTAAGCAAACATGCATAAGTTTTCACCAAAGATCTTTTCCTTCCAAAAATAAAAAGAATACTTTGATTCAAACTATCTTAAAATGTTAAATGTTTTTCAGACTATATCAACAGTCTAAAATCGTAACACATTTAACAAAGAGAAAACTAAGTACAATTTGCATATGAACTAGAAATTTCAGCTTAAAACGGTTCAATCTAAACCAAAACAAAAGTTCCAATGCATCTATCAAATATTTTTTTAGAAAAACAAATTCAACCATTAATAATTGTCCACTAATAAACAAGAAAACAGTAAGACTATTTTTCAAAAGTTGCACAATCAAAACTGAGATTCACAACTTGTGTATTTTTAAAATTTGTATGCCACCCTTCAAAGCCAAGTTTTTCTAAGATGGCTTTCAGTAAATTAAAATCACAGATAAGAATGTTGACTATTAAAAAACACAGTTCATAACCAATAAAAACAATAGCCATGGTAGTTATACTTCTTAAAACACGTTTCGTATATTTTCAAATTTTCAAGGAAATCTCACATGCTAAACACACTGAGCACTACTCAGTATTTACCAAGCTCCGTCTGCTATTCTGAACAAAAGTCTCCAAGGATTTCGTTCCAGAATCAATGCTCTATTGATTTTACTATCAATGAACATTATGGCTCACACGACAGGCCATTTTAAGGGAAGATAGCTTCTATTATATCCCACTTTTTAGAATATATACTGTCAAAGGATAAATCACTGCATTCTGTGGCAATTAAGGACGATATTTAAAAATTAAGCTGTCTGCTTAATTTTTAGGAGTACATATAAACAATGATCCTTAGTTAGTCAGAATCCTTTGATAATTTTAATCTTGTTTTTCACATTTAGGAAATTAGTTAATTAGGAAGTATGCAGACAATTCATTACAGTCCTTGTTTGCAGAAATCAATCTATCACATAGAATGAATCTTCAAAGGCATGCAGGAGAATGAAGCACATAAGCAAATTGTAAAGCAGTTTTTTCTGTTCTCTCCCATTTGCTCATCCTCCTATTTTCCTCCTTTCAAAATATGAACAATATAAAATAATTCACTACATTCATAATTAATGTAAGTCAAAATAAAGCTGCCCCAAAATCCCCCCCCCAAAGTATTTGGTTTATTTTGCAAAATATGTAGTTGTTAAACAAGAAATTTGGCACCTTGTGCTTCTCATATCATCCTTAGGTGGCTCAAGGCTGTTTAATGCTACTATAGTGTAACTGGGTATCATGTATGAACATTCAATCCAGAGCTACAGTCCCTATCTGTTTAATTAAAATTGTGACAAGGTTAGAACTGCAAACCTATCACCAAATTTAACTGAATCTTCAATGAAATCAACACAATTTCATTTCCACAACTGTGTGTAGAGAATATATATTATGTTAATGTTAAATAAATGTTAATATATAACATTTACAGGGGGGGAGGACACTTCCTTTTGTACTGTTTTTCTTGCATTTGTTTTGCAAACACACACACACACAATGTAAATGAGCTCCAGAACACTTGTATACTTTCCATATGGTAGTTGCAAAAACCTATTCATTACAAAAAAGGTGCTAGCGTATACAAGCCTGGTGTTGGAACAATTATTTTGATGCCCCACCAATTATTTTGGTCTGGGTAATCTGTCCACAAGAATTTTAAAAAGCTATTGATGAGTTTAAAAGAACACTATGAAAAAGTTATTAAAACTGAAAAGATGTTCTAATAATTAAAGCTTTTAAAGAAACAACATGTTCAGATTATATTTTTTTTTAAATTCATCTAATGAAAGGGAAGTAATTTGTTGGTCATCAACCAAATTTTATCTACATATTAAAACCAGGCAACAAGCTAGAGCAGATTTACATTGTAATACTGCAGCCAATATAACTGAATTAAAAGTAACTCCTACTATCAATCCACATTTAGTAGAGATCAAGGAAATTTTAAATATTGTTTTACCTGCTGCTCACTCATCTACTATGTGTAATAGGATATTAAACCTCTGGGCATCATGCAACAGAATTTCCAAAGTACTGTTTATCTTCCCCCAGCTTCAAAATGCAGGCTGTCTGACATGTGAACAATTCAAAGGGAAATTCAAAAGTTCAGCCTTTCTCTTTCATTTGCTCTGGAACCAAATGTTCAAATTTCTTGGGAGTTGGGAACTTGGTTCTCTGCAAACTGATTTAGAACCAGAAGCTCAATCCTTCTTACAAATTCTGGTACATATTTCAAATATGCTGGTTTTGTTTACAATCTTGATACTTAGTGGGCAAGCAATATTTAAAATGATGTTTAGAGCATATAAAGTAAATGGAACAGCTGCACCTTGAGCAAATTATTTTGTCCATGGCAAAAAAAAAAAAAAGGCTGAAAAATTGAAATAGCTGAAGATTCTGATCCAAGTAATACGTTCAAACTTTAATACTACTAGGACCAACAAATCTGAAGGAAATTAATTGAACGAGTGCATTGTACAACTGGTAAAAATATGCTTTGAGGGGGGAAAATCCTTTAAAAACCATTGGTTGTCTCTTGATTAGCTGTTATTTAAGAAAGATAAATATCCCCCGTATTGTAATCAACACCAGCACAGTTTTTCAACTGAGTCTGTGATCCAAGTGGTCAAAAATTCCTGCAGGCAAATACCTGGGGAAAGATGTCTCATAGTAGAATGAATGTTTTGTTTGTTGCTTTTAAGAGGAAACACCTGCTGCTATTGCACATTCCTAGCTTCATGGAAAAGATAGTCACAAGCAGTTTGCAGGCATTTAGCTGAAGTATCATAAAATTTAATTTTTGTTTAATTGTAACTCAAAGACGGGCTAGGAGTTGAACTAATTTAATGCCACGCATTTCTAACATAATTTTACTAAATGCATTAAAAAGAGCACATTATGTGAATATTTACATGAAACTCCTAAATAATTTGATAACCATGGTCAGCAACTACAAGGAGCAATTCCTTGACATTCCAGCTATATTAAGGAAAAAGAAAGCCTGAAAATTTTAGAATCTCTAACATCTTTAATATTAGTTGACTTAAAGAATAGTATGTATATAAAATGAGTGCTACAAAAAATGATACACACATATGTGTATGTGGCAGGAGGTTGCATTCAAACTAGCTCATACCTTTTGCAACCATTTGACACAAGACATTGACCCCCCTATTGTTAAACTTCCTAAACTTCCTTGATCTATGACTCCAAGCTGAAAGACTGCAGTAGGAGGCAGGGTAAAAACCATACACAAAATCGCCAAAACTCCTCTGAACACTGTTCCATGGCTCTTTCAACACAGAGGATTATCTGAAAGTAGATAATCTCTACTATGAGACCTGGAGTCATGCCAAGGCTTCTACAAAGCCAAGAACCTCCTAGAGAACATTCAGCACCCCTGCTCAGAATATTGAAAACCTAGAGATGTTTCAGACAGAACTCCTTTGCTGGCAGTAAGCCTTTTCTTCCTTCCCCCAAAATATCTGGGTCACCAACAGCTAAAGTGAGCATCCTAACAAACTGTGCAAGTCCCACGTACAACACAAGACCTGAGAAAAGCAATCCAAGCACAAGTGATTGCCTGATTATGTTCTTTTCTTGCAGGTGGTAAAAATATTTACTGTGTTTTGCCCATTAGTGAAGTTACCGAATAATGTAAAGCAACTGAAAGCCTGATCCATTTGCTCGTTGTTCATCTAACAATGCTTTGTTTTTAAAATGAAATTTTATTTATAAAGTTACTCTAGAAAACAGCAGCCACAGAGGAAATTACTCAAATCTACAAATTTTGATAAAACTGGGGGAGGGGGGGAGAGGAAAACCCTGAAGATGGAATGTTTGTAGCAAAAGAATTTGAGCATAAAAAGCAATTCCCTCTATCAGCATGCATGAGCCACAATGAATTTCTTGGGTTCCTTCCTTTATGGGGAGTTGATCTGAGGGCCAAATTAACAATCAGAAAAAGTAACAGCTAAACAAGCATGTGTTAATAATCGAAAAACACAAATACATTTTGTAAGTGATTACATGAACTTCTGTTCCCTAAGATGAAGGCCATTCATACATATTAAGGGTTCAGCAACAGCCAGAAATGTATGTAACGATCAGAAAACAAACCATAAACCTTGCAAGAAGCGCTGAACATCCTGGCTCATGTTAGTGGCTACACGAGTTGAAAATATACAAGATAAACTCACCTACGCCTTCTCTCTTCATCCTTTAAAACCTCATATATGGCCACCAACTAGAATAAAAGGTACTTTTATTTTTAAAAACTCTGCATTGAAAAACCAGAGAGTTTTGCTATAAAATTGCAAAAATGCTGGACTATCTTTCTTAAAGAGCAAACAAAGAACAATATAAATCATTTCTTGAAAATGTTTAAAGCTCTCAAACATTTCTAGCAACATTCCATCTTCGGCAGTTCTAAATATTTTCTCTCCACAATTAAGGTAATGTTAATTTAATTGTTCTTTAACCTAAAAAAAATAAAGCATTTTAAAACATGTTCTATTCGTTCACTAATATTCATAAAATCTGCAAACAGATTCCAAAAGTGGTGAGAAAAAAAAAATCAGGAAAAAAACAGTATAACCAGAGTACAATTGTAATGTACAAGCAAAGTAAACCTTGTACAAATATTTGCTTTCCTTCTGCTACTGTACAGCTTGTGACACTGTACTAAAAAGAACAAAAGCAAGGATCCCTTAACATCCAACTTCCAACTTAAGAACTGCTGTCTAAGAAGGCTCCATTTTATAAGATGCACTTTTTCATCTTTTTATGTTTTGTTTCATCTGAAACCTATTTTAAATATTTAGGGGAAAAATAAAGCTTAAATGCTTCCAAAATCCCAAATTAATCATTCCTAAATGTCACACCACAATCATAATGAGCTCCATTCTTCATATTTTTAATGACCACATGATACGGTTTGATAGTACCCCATCACTTACTTGTCTAAACTGGGTTTCTGCATTTTCATGTTTATTCTTGTCCGGATGCAATATCAGTGAAAGCTTACGATAAGCTTTCCTAATATCTGCCGATGAAGCATCCTACAAAACACAAAGCAAACTTTGTCAGAAATGAATTCCCAGAACCTGGTTAAGATTGGAGAAGGCAGCCAACCAAGCGCAGGGACCTGAGGCAATGTAATTTGAGCAATCATTCTTCACAGCCAGGATACGCAGCCAGACTGGCCCACATGGCTGAACAACCAGTCAATCTAATTTTGTTCTCCTCTTAACTTGTTTCAATGCCATGTGCTCATTACAAGAAGACAGTATTTGCCAGAATACTTTCAAATGCTTGCTTCCTTAAAATGAGCGAATAAATCTTCAGTGGCAATTAAGAGATCAAATGGATAAATTAAATTAATATGCCTGCCTATCTTCAAGAACATCGTCTTTTACTCAGGCTCTTCCTTACTTCTGTAAGTTGCAGCCGCTGACTAAAGCTGTGCTTTTACTACTAAATTTATATCTCTATTAATTTCTTGCAGAACTTTCAAACAGCCATTAGTACTACATGCTACATAAGAGAGCTTGTAAAGAGTTATCAGCTTCCTTTTCAAAAGAAACAGAGATACTAACAAAAACAATGTCCCAAATTGCAGTTCAATTCTGTTTTATTCTTTAATCTTGAGCATGCCTATTAACTGCATTTTGTGGGGAGGGGGGGACATAAATTCCTTTTCTAAAAATGCACAGAATGAAGTATCTTAATCTAACCCCTACTACTTTTCATCAGAGGCACTGTACTGTGCCTGTTGCCTTCCACAACTGATCAAAGTGTCATTTGATATATCATTGGGGGAAAGGATAATTTAATAGCGATTGTGTCAAAGGTATTCAAAAGGATGGTATTTTGAATACTACACAGAACCACCATAACAACCTAGTTCAATCTTTCTCAACCTGGTGAGTTCCAGATGAATAGGTGGTATTCTGGGATCTCTAGCCCAACAGATCATTATTCTTAAATGCTGCTCGGGACAGGATTCAAATCTTGTCAAGAAAATCAAGCATAAGGATTTGGTTTTAGAAATGTATTTTATTTAAGCTTGAAGTCAGTATGCTAAATGTATTCTCCACTGAACATCCTCTAAAGAAATACATCTGCACAAACTTACTATAATGGGTCAAATCAGAAAGAGCCTCTAAAACTGTAAACCAAAAGTAAGGCAATTAAAGCAGCACTGTAATTAGTCTGTCAAACCTTCCAATACAAAGCACTGTTTTCATTACAGATTTATAGCACAAGTCTAACTCAGCATAAAACATTTGAGGCCAGAAGGGAATAATAAGGTGGGGTGTATTCTGTGTAGGGGAATGTCTGTGTGCATATGGCATACATGCATCGAGAAGCTACAGCCAGTAATCGTATATATCCTGTGAAACTAAATTCCTGAAAATGATATATGATTTATCCACCTGCAGGTTTCATTCATGCACTTCCTACTTTGAAGTGTTTTTCATATAGGAAATGTGCAATGTCTGAAGCATCTTTGACTAATTAGTGGGGAGAAAAGGTATCGAATCTTTTGGATAAAGAAAAAAGCACCCACGATTCAAACTATCACCATCAATGCAGAATCCTTCCTAGTTCCCATACCTAAGTGATACAAATTTACTGAAAGTCTAGATTCCGAAGCACATTTATGGAGACCCCTGAACACAAATTTGTTCTCACTAAGCATCAAACTGGATGCAAGTCAATGGGATATTCTACCAGAGATTCAAGTTTTGATGTACATTTTAAAAAGGCTTTTATGCTCTTAGAAACTGATAAAAATGATGGGACTTAAAGAGATTTACAACCTATATTTAGGACAACTGTCTATAATATAATTCCCACCTACGCCTATTCATGCAAGATTGTGGCCTCTCTTATTCAGATATTCAGGCAGCATCACTTGAAAGAATCAAGAAATTACATATTGCCAAAAAAAGGAGAAAAAGAAACTAAGTTAGTTCATTCTAATATTCATGTCAGTATGAAGAGAAAATTGGCCTTATTTATACACAGAAAGCCAATATGTTATATATGCAAATTAAGTAATATAAGGGCTACTCCTTTACCTACTGCTTTGGCAAGATGTCTCACTAACACAATTTCATTATGTTTAGACTTGGCTATGAGAAGTTGAGTTAGCCAAGGCAATATTGACCATGACTTTGCAGTCAATTAGACTAGGACAAATTGCATTCGGCATCTGTCACTTAATTGTGATTAAACCCTACAGGGAATGGGAAAGGAGGCAGGAAGTTGGGAGGGGAGTGAGAGTGAACTAGGGAAGATGCATGTTTAGCATTTGGTCATGTTTTGACCAACACTAATTCCTAATTATTCACTATTATTCACTAATAATGCTTGTGTAGACCCAACTCTGTAAATTTCAATACTGTAGTATTTAATTGGTTTCTACTGAACAGAGACTTATTTTTCATATTGTTGCTAAACATATATAATCTGTTTCCATATCATTGTAGGCACTGTACAGGCTTTCATCATTTCAGCCATTTAAAATTTTCTGTGTACCCAAAAGACTAAAGTAGAACTAATTTGAGCTAACAGCCTTTGACAAACTAAAATAAATCAGAACACTTTTTATAAATTTCACCCAAACATACTGGTCAGAACTGCAGCTAATTGTTCCAAGAGAACTATTCTTATTCTTATTCCTGGATTACAGTAGACAATTCAGCATCCTCCAATTTTTTAATGATTTCAACTTTCACAATCCCCTTCTTAAAATTTTAGTAATCCTATCAACTTTCCCCATTGTGGTACTCTCCAAATATATGGGTACAACTCCCATCTGCCCTTCTACTTTTGTGATTTAGGATTTCTCTCATTCAGGATCCAAACATTTATTTATTTATTTTATTTGAATTTATAAGCCACCCAACTCCAACAGACTGATCTTTTCTCATAGCAGCTGCACTGGGTGGCAATAACTTCACATTTTCAAAACCTCAAAAACCTATTGAACTTGATATTATTCCTAGTCAACTTAAGTACTGTATGTTGAATAATAATTACAAAAGGCTGGCATCAATTAAAGAAAATTCTGTGCTCCTTTTCTGTAAGATTAAGACAGAAATTAACTAACTGCAACATCATGCTTTATCATTACTGAATAGAATAACTGCAACTAGAATGACTATTCTTCCTAAATTTCTATTTTGTTTCAAACACTCCCAATTCCACTGCCTGCTACTTAGTTCCGTATATGGCAAAAATTCTCTCTTCATTTATATACAATTTTTAAAAATCACTAGGATTAGAGAAACTGTACAATATAACCAAAAGCATGACAGAAGTATTATTTCAATATTTTTCAGTTAATTCATATTACTAGGAATTCAATTAATGTTCCACTATACAAGCTGAGTTAGCATTAGGTCCTCCATTTCTTAACTATTTTCCTGTCACTAAGAAATTAACATCTACTGTTGTAAATTCAAATCTGTAATGGTACGTGAGAAAGACCTTGGGAGACTGGGCAAAGAGACGCTGCCACAGGAACAGTCAGATAAGAGACAGCATAATCTGCAGCTGGAGAGTGGGTGGGGAAGAAGGCTCAGAAGGGACCCTCCCTAGTTTCTTGGGCTGTAAAGGGGACGGGGGGAGAAATGTACTTTCAGACTTGCAAGATTCTGTCAATGTAGCTTTAGAATAAAGTAGAATTAGCTCATCTGGTTGTGATTCCTATCTGGTTTACCCAGGCCGACATCAGTCTTATAAGTCTGAAAGTACATTCTCCCCCATCCTAATTATATGAATTAATAAATAAAATTAAATTATAAAATATCTAAATGATTACAAATATAAAAGCATAAGTGCTTAAGCTGTTTATATAAAACTGAGGTAATTTATAGAAAAATGAGAATTTCTAAATGAGGAACAGACCTTTTTTGGGCATATTGTCAATAGCAGATCTTGGAAAGAAATAGATGTAGAAGAAAAGGAAAGAAATGAAAGAAACTAAAGTTGAACTATTGTAGGAAGAGAAAGTATGAGTCCTCTAAAAAGTATTAAAGGGCAGATTAATCTCTCATCAGAATTAATGGAAAGTGGACACCAGGAAACAGGATGTTGAAGCAGCTTAGAAGAGAGCTAAAATAATTATGTTGTACTATGCCACAGAAACACGTGGAATTATGCTAAAGGCAATTAGTAAAAAGATGCCTGATGGAATGATAAGGTAAAAGAGGTTGTGGATGAAATAGGTGCATATAAGAAAATAACTGCTACAAAAAATAACAGAAAAATATTGTATGTACATAGAGACAAAAAGATAGTTGCAAACAATATAGCCAAACACACCAATGAATGGCTAAGATTAAAAGAGGCAGAGAAAATGCAGAGTGATCTTGACTGAAAGAAAAAGTTTTGGAAATAAAGAAGGCTAAACAAGAGTCCCCACCAGATTAAATGGACGTAAAAATAAAAGGAGGAAACTAAAGCAAGGGAATATTTTAGAAATGAGCACAGAGTGAAACTAAAGCATTCATGTTAGAAATCTTAATGTCTAAGAAAGAATAGATGAAAAGGAAGACATAAAAGCTATGAAAATGTTATACAATGTAAGTATGCAAGGATCTAGATGTTCTAACTGGAAATTGTTATGTACAGAATTGTTAAGTTCAGATAGAACTGAAAATTAATGTTATCAATGACCAAAATAATCATGTTTGATGGAGAAAATGGAGAAAATGATTGCAAGTAGATGAATTAGCGTGCCTTGGTAAAATTTTAACTAAAGATGGGATAATTTAAGACATGCAAATGCTGGTAGAATGGAGTGACCTGTTGCAAAGAATAAATATTTGTTGAAAGAACAGAAAATGGCAGTTTGTAAGAGCGTGCTTTTGCCCACTTTGTTATAAGGAAGTGAGACTTGCATACGCCAGGAGAAACATAAAAATTGAAAGCTATGGGAATGGAGTACTTAAGAAGCATGTGTGACAAAACAAAAAGAGATGGGGTCAAGAAAGAATGGATGTTGAATGAATATAGATTGAATATAAAAGTGTGTGACCAGTATGAA